ATCCTACAAGGCAGCAGGACATGGAGCAGGTTGTACTGGGTTACATGTTACCAGTAGCAGGAAAACCTGACCTGACCTTAAGATATGCTTGTAGATATGAAAGAATAAGCTTTAACTTGCTGAAGGTACGTTCGAAAATGGCTATTGACACTGCAATTGTGATCAAAATTTGTAATGCAATGCGTAAGTTTGGAAAAACGTCATCTATGCATGACAAATTAAATGAAAGTAAATCCAGCGGAGTTGTTGATATTAGACCCCCACGAGATTTAAGCAGCATCTGACAGTCTGCGATATCAGTAAATAATTTTGCTCCACTGATATCTGTAGTGTAAAAGTTTCCCTGATCCAAACAATGTTGCTGCAAACTTTCTTGATTTTCATTACCATTCGTCTTTAGCAATGTTCTCACATCGAGCAAGAATCCAAATTTTTCATTGAGATCATTTAATCGTCTACAGCAAGTTGTTAGTTCTTGTTGTAAACAATTCAATATCATTTTCAATTAATAGTTTTAGTTCAGATGAAATGTTTATATTTCATATTGATTTATATTGAAATATTTATATTAAAAACTCATAAGTTTCACGTTCAAACTTTAAGCTGAAATTTCAACGTTCAGGTTCTAGCTTTTTACTCTTAAAAGCTTAAACTTTCAGAAAAAATGCTTTTACAGTCATTTCAATAAATACAGCTGAAATACAGGCGCGAATACAGGGGATAATATGGGTAATGCATTACCCCCACCAGACTTTCATTTTTTTTTTTTTTACTCGAACGAGTGCGCTGTGGTGGTTTCAATCAAAACGTTTTAAAACTTAATCAAATTGGCTGCCGTTTCGCACGTGATCTAAGTTCCGGTATTTGTGTGCTGAATCGCCTTGTTTTAAAATCGCCTGTATTTAGTATCTTAATATACTATGCAAAAATGCAAAAAAGGCGTAAGATTAGAGACTGTTTTCAACCAAAAAGGTAACGGTTTTTTATAAAATATAAAAGTTTTTTTTCAATTGTATTTTATTTGTTTATGTAAAGTAACTAAAGCTAATGTTGTCCAATGTCCACACAAAATGGGTTTTGTATGGACATTGAACAATTAACTTTACACTTCGCGCAACTTGTGTGCTCAATAACATTTATAATTAGTGTGATAAAAAGTGACTAATTCAAAAATAAAAAGTATTTAATTTACGAATTCGTCTAATCCTGCTTTACAGAAGTGGTGATGCTACAAAATGTTAGAAGGGTATTCACTGTGTTCTTTTTTATTTATTTTCTTTTCTGTGTTCTTTTTTATTTATTTTCTACAACAACAACAGTTGACGGCGTCAGTCAAGTGAGTTTGCCCAGTGGTTCACAACCTACTAATTCTGCAGTCGTTACTCCACACCAAGTGGGTTTGCACTACCTACTAATTCTGCACTCGTATGCATACCTATTGCTTCAGTCACTCAAGTCCCTAAAGCCAAACAGTCAGAATGGGACATAGAGATGATTTTTTAGAATTGAGAAAACAACCTGACCCTCCCCTCAGTAAACCTCCAAGCATTACCCCCCACCGCTGAATCCTAGATACACCACTGCTGAAATATAAATAAAAATTAGTGTTTTTTAAAATTTGTTACATTTTTTGAAAACAATGTTTTTTCCTTTTTGATTTATTTGTAGCTATTTAAATTTTAGAAAAACAGTGTTTGTTTGACCTCTCTAAAAATAAGTAACTCAGAATGTGCCAGTTTTTTCCCCGTTAAAAATTAAAGGAACAGTAACCATTTGACTACTATTTATTTACGTTTTGAAAAAAATAAAAATTAAAAAAAAACTAAAAATAAAACATGACTACTTTCAAAGACGTTAGCGCATTTAGAAGATCTGAGGTTTAGGGTTATTTTAAATTTTCTTGGGGTTGCTTGTTACTTGTGGTTCTGGCTGATGGCTCTTTATCTTGAACTTGCTCTTTAATTCAGCTGTGTTACTGTAGTCACTGAGCAGTTGTTGGCTCTGAATCAGAGTTGTAAGTTCATTCATTTATATTATTTTTTCCCTTTTTTGGCGCCCCCTACAGAGTTGCGCCTGGAGCGAAAGCCAAGCCCGCCCTTCTTGCTACGCGTCTCGTTAGGACCAGCAAATGTCTTAAGGTTCCTGAAAGCAATTGAAGAGATCCCAGGATTGCTCTTTATAAGTAGATAATGGAACTAATTCCGCATCACATTAATTCTAAATATTTCTATTAGCCTTATTTTGTGTTTTATGGTCTTTTTTTGGTTATCCATATGGATAACCAAAAAAAATGATGTTATCATGCAGCCGTGGCGCAGTGGTAGCGCACTTGCCTCAAAAACGTAAGATCCCTGTTTCAAACCCCACCTCTGGGCAAGTTTTGCGACATTAGTTGGAAAGGAGTTGTTAACTTCCTATTAAATGCTCTTCCGCGGTGCTCTGTGATAAGACCGTAAGGACTTCTTGGGGCACCTTAATCAACTAAAAAAAAAAAAAAAGTCATGGCCATGACAACATCCCCAAGGATAAGAATTTTTTTTTATTGTGGAATTATGCGGAGCTTTTGAGATATTATATTTTCAAAAACAATATTTGTCGGAAAATTTATATTTTCACCTGATACTTTAATTACTTATTTGGCTAAAGCAATCTTCAAAATTTTAGGTTTTGCTTTTGAACAGATAAAAGAATGCCTAAATAAGGCTTTATGATAAAAATTAAATAAATCATCTAAACTAGTAAATAAAAAATAAAACAAAATTAAAAAGTATAAAAAGTGTGCGAATTTTTGCAAAGATTTTTAACCTGGTAGGAAAAATAGGCCGGGTGAATAAAAAAATGCCTTGATTCAGCAATTGCTCAGCTTTACGCGAATAAAATTTTTAGCGAAATTTATGTTTACGTAAAGCTGAGCAATGACTCGTTTTTGGAGTAAATTGCTCAGCTTTACGTGAATAAAAATTTTTGCAATTTTGATCAAATTTTTTTTTTAAACTGAGCATTTACTCCAAAAACGACGAGTAAAAGCAATTGCTTTTATTATTCACCCGGCCTAATGCTTCTCTGAGTAGAACATTAAACATGAGAAGGCCAAAAAATATATATTTTTTATCATTTAATATGCCTTTTAATAAAACATGGGGAGGGCGGGTGGCGGAAGAAAAGAGTTTAGGCCCACAAATTAAAGAATATTCGAGGCCCCCCAATTCTGTGAACGGACAAATTATTATATGGCACACTTTTTTTTTATGTTAAATTTTTTTATTGATTTTCTGTATTGGCATAAATAAGTAATATTACTTTTATTTAAGAGCACACGTTTTATTAAACAAAAAATTATAATTATATTCGAAATTTATATTTTTATCAATATTCAGAATTATGATATAAATCTTCAAGTTTTATAATTTTTATATTATTATGAAATAGCTCCGCCGCCATTTCGAGGGAGCAGGACTGGCTTAAATATTTGCTATCCAATTTCAACATCGGTTTATTTTATTTGATTTAATGATTATTTAATCATTATATATATATATATATATATATATATATATATATATATATATATATATATATATATATATATATATATATATATATATATTAGGGTGGTGCTTAAAACAACTTTTTTGAGAAAAACCTGCTGGTACCCCCTAAATGTGTTTTATCTAATACAAAAACACTAGGTTTAAAATTTTTTGAACAAAAATTATTTTTAGGGGTAGCTCAAGGCCCTCAAAAATTTGACGGGTCCCTAATATTTTGAAAAAAAAACTTTTACTAAAGTATGTCAACCTGGTACTCAAAAGAAGCGATATTATATAAAAACTTCAAAAATAATAATCATTTTACATAAAAAACATGCCTAAAAAAAATTATTCTCAAAAAACCTGAAAATATTGACTTTTTTTATTTTCAGCTTAAAAACAATAGTTTTTATGCATTTATACCTGAAAAAATTATTTTTATAAAAAATTATTTTCATTTTTAAATTTTTTATATAATTTTGCTTATTTTGAGTACCAGGTTGACATACTTTAGAAAAAGTTTTTTTTTCAAAATATTAGGGACCCGTCAAATTTTTGAGGGCCTTGAGCTACCCCTAAAAATATTTTTTGTTCAAAAAAATTTTAAACCTAGTGTTTTTGTATTAGATAAAACACATTTAGGGGGTACCAGCAGGTTTTTCTCAAAAAAGTTGTTTTAAGCACTACCCTAATATATATATATATATGTTTAATATATATATATATAAATATATATATATATATATATATATATATATATATATATATATATATATATAACTAAATATATATATATATATATATATATATATATATATATATATATATATATATATATATATATATATATATATATATATATATATATATATATATATATATAACTAAATAAATATATATAACTTCGATCCGAAATGTTTAACTTTCCTTTTTTTAAACGAAGTAAATATATTTTAAATTTAAATACTAATTATGTAAAAGTATTAAGCGGAGATTATAATACTTGTAAAATAATAAATTATGATTCCTTAATATATTTTCGATTAACAAGGATTAAAGTTTTGAATAGAAAAGTAAAACTATGGACGCTCATAAAGCATTTTTATGAATTAAAATACTTTTCAATAAACATAGGCTCATAAAAAACTTATATAAGTATTTTATAATTATTAAAATTTGTTTTTGAATTATCATTAATTTATTGGGAACTTTTGATTCGCATTTATAACTTTTGTCCTAAACTTCTGCTACAGCTTTTGTCCTTTTTACAAATGGTGGACAATTGTTATAAACAATAAAAAAGCGGCTTTAATAAATTCCCCCAAGTTAGACATCTAGTTATGTAATACATGTTGTAATACATACACTGCATAGTTAAACGGTTCTGAGTGACGGGATCTTACGATCCTCTTTGAGTCTCCGCGTTCTGATAATTAATGTACAACGATATTTATACCATAGTATATTGTAATAAGAACATTAAAAAACAAAAACAAAAAAAAATTTTTTTTATTTTTTTTATTTATTTGATTTTTTCAAATGTACGATTTCATTTAAGTCGTTCACGGTTATTTTGCAAAATTTAAATACGCTTGTGCTATTGTAAACAATTCACACGTGAAAAAGTTTTACAAAATGCTTTTGATAAAAAACGCTAAACAAGTTGTCACTGTATGTGAACAAAAAGAAAAGGTTTTATATGGAGAAGATGCCAAGAAAGTGAAGGTATGCGATTCCTCTGATAATCAAGGTTATTCTATAGTTGTTGATAATTCTGGAAAAATTGAAGCTATTGGATTAGATGACGAAATAATTAAAAAGTATGATCATGTAACTTTCAATAAAGAAGTAAATGCTTGTGGAAAATGTATTTTACCAGGTATTGAATTCATCTTTTTTTAAATATTTTTTTAGGTTTATGAATGGTTTTTTAAATATATTATTGGTTAATGATTGGTTTTTATTAGTTAGTATATCAATTAGGACCATGTTTTAACAACATCTACATGTAATTAAAAGTTATTACTAAAATTTATTACCAAAGTTGTATCATCATCATAATCATCATCATGACACCATATCATTTTTATCTTTACACTCTATATACCCAAGCTAGCTTAACTTCTGCCTTGCCTAAATGAGGCTTATGAAATTTTTACGTTATCAACTCTTTAGGTCCAATCTTATTTACTGTAGATAAACTTTCTAATTAAATTTTTAATTTAGCAATTTGTCAAAATGAACCAAGTTTACATAAACATTTGAACCATCTGCAAATTATACACAATTCTAATATTTTGCTTATCACATAGGTACATGTAAGTTAAATTCCAGCATTCAATTAAAGTTTAAAAACTAGGTCTAAAGTTTAGCTTTCTTTGTTATTAGTTTCATTAACTGTTGCAAAGCATGCATCATCTGATATATGTTTTTTTTATAGCTTCCTATAAAAATATGTTGCAAAACAGCGATGTTGTTGCATTCATTAAAATGATTGGACCTGAAGAGTTGACAAAAGTAAAACCATCTTTTCATAAGCTTCATTTTCACTGCAGGTCTTTTTATGCACTTTATTAAATATTATTAATTATGTACCTAAGTAATTTAATCAATGTACTTTATTAAAGCTTTATTCTTTTTTTTTAATTTTTTTTATACACCTCCCCAACACTGAGAGCGCCACTACAGATGAGGAGGCTACTTAATTGTGGTTATAATCATCTCTCAACTCTATTGTTCCCAAACACGACCCTTGGCGAACAAGGCCACTGTGCGGAGAAACAAGTTGAGTGCGGTACTACCAGGGACATGGTGGGAATCAAACTCAGAACCTCTTGCTTATGAAGCGATATTATTATGAAGCGATATTATTGATCTTAAATTAGATAAAATTTATGTAAATGTTAAAATTTATGTAAATGTTAAAATTTATGTAAATGTTAAAATTTATGTAAATGTTAAAATTTATGTAAATGCTAAAACTTATGTAAATGTTAAAATTTATGTAAATGTTAAAATTTATGTAAATGCTAAAACTTATGTAAATGTTAAAATTTATGTCAATGTTAAAATTTATGTAAATGTTACAATTTATGTCAATGTTAAAATTTATGTCAATGTTAAAATTTATGTCAATGTTAAAATTTATGTCAATGTCAAATTTATGTAAATGCAAAAATTTATGTAAATGTTTGCTAAAAACTGAATTAACTTATTTAAAACATTTAAATTGTTAGTTTTAATTATTTTTCATTTAATATGAACGTTTATCAAATATATGTAATATATATTTCATTTTGACTTCCATTGCTAAAGTTTATGCTCAAAAAGTTTTCTATATCTTGTGGTCCAGATAACTTTATTGTCACAGTCATACAAAGTGTTCATAGATGTTCTTTTTAATATTCTCTAAACTATTTAACAAGCCTAACTTTCTGTTTACTGACTACTTAAAAATGGTTTCCATAGTTTCTTCTTTTTAAAAGTTCTAGAAATTGCTCTAACCTTTTGAATTATTTTTCTCATTTCTCAATCAGCTTCAATTCAGCAATCATTCTTAATTAATGTTATTTCTTAATCAGTTTTCTTTCTAATATTAGTATGGTTTTTAAGTTTTTATTTGGCAATTTTCTTATCTTAAATATTAGAGCTTAGTTTCTGGAAATCAATATAGATTTGGACCCTTTGGTTATAGTGCTGATTTTCTAGCTATATATATATATAAATTTATTATGTGTTTAATAGATTTGATAAAGCAAGGCTCACTGTTTTTGACTCATCAAAGTCTTTCCATAATGAGTGACTTTCTTCAAAAGTATTACTAGCATACACACAAAAGCATGCACCATATTATGTATGCACCATATGGTGTATGCTTATTATTATTTATATGTAAATCTTCTTGCTACATTGCAATCTTCAGTGACAAAGATGAAAATCCAGTGAAGATCCACCAATTCTTAGTTTATCCTCATCTGTGATAATTCAATAATTATTCAAAACAATAATTATTCAGCTTTAGAGACAAACGATTTGAATGATCAACAAACATGGCATAGTGATTTAAGTCTAATATGCATTAAAGTTAGTAAAATTTCATTATCAGCAAGAATAATGTCGAGCTGGAGCAGGTTTTGTTCTATTTAAAGGATTACTAGCAGGGCTAAATTGATATTGTTTAGATTGAAATGAATATTTATGATCCTTAAAATATAAGATTTATTTATGTTTGGCTTTAACATGACTAACAATATAAAAAAACCTTTTTCAGATGGACACCCAGTATACAATTTTAATACTTTGGGTAAAGAAGTCCTGCTTCCTATGATTATCTTTTATAAGTACTTTTTTTATTAGGTGTTGTTGGTCTTAGATAAGTTGTTAATGTATCATTAATCTATTTAAGTTATTGTGGGTAAGGATGCATATCAGATGTTGTTAATTGGCACAGAAGAGGAGATTGTGAAAGAGAAGACTACAGGATATTGTCATAGTTATCACTAATACTAGCAGTGATATTAGTATGTGTTTCTAGTAGCAGTGCTACAAGTAATGTTACACATACTTAAAGAATATGTTTTTTTTTTAATTTTAATAGGTGTATATCAAAGTATTGGTAATTTTGTTTTTGTTTTAGGAGATATTTCAAATCCTTTTAAATATAACTTTGGATGATGGGACAGTTTAAGTTGTTTTCCCATATTTCTGCTTCTTATGTTTATTTTTTATAACTACTTTTTTTATTAAGTATTGTACTTACTTATTGATTACTGATAAACCAACAACTTAAGTTGATGGTGTGTCAGTGATTTATTAAAGTTATTGTGGGTAATGCTGAATCTTCTTGACTCTACTCATAGATTTTTGCTTGTGCCTGGATCCAAGATGCCATGCTCTATCTATGATCTATGAATTAGACAAGTTTTCTTTAAACTTAAATCAAGCCAAAAGTAACCCAAAATTTTAAAAACCATCCCCACCACCTAATTGTTTTCATATATTTTTACAAATATTTGTGGTCTTTGTAGCAACCATCCATCAGTTGAATCTCAGATCTTGCAAAATTCACCAGACATGCTTGCTCTTAATAAGACTCAATTAAATTCCACAATTCCTTCTTCAAATCTCAGTGTTAATAAATACTATACTTTAATTTGCAAAAACTCCAATAGTCACATGCTTAGCTTGAGGGCATACATATGCATCAATCTACCTATTTTTTGTGAAATCAGGTTTGAATCCTTTGACCAGTATTTTATGTACTTTGACTTACTACTTTTTCACTTTTTGTATCTTTTACTTTGTTTTTATTGTTCTTTTTCTTTCCAAGACTGCACTTTTTTAGATGTAGTTTCTGATCAAATTGACCATGCCCTTTCTCTTTACCCTTCTGCCAATATTTTTGTTATTGGTAACTTTAATGCTCATCACACTGAATGGCTTGGCTCTAACACCGCTGACCTTGCTGGCACTAAAACCCATAATTTCTGCATTTTTCAATCTTTTACTCAGATAGTTAACTTTGTGACTTGTTTTCCAGACAACCCTAATCACTTATCTCCACTCCTTAATTTGTGTCTTGTCTGTGACCCTAGCTTGTGTTCAGTTTCTTTTTTTTCTTCTTAAGGTGGTTTCGACCATGGTCTCTATATAACTTTCATCGCATAGTCTTTCTTTGAACTTGCCCTATCATTGCACTACTTACTACTAATCTAAAGCTGACAGGGATTGTTTTTTTTTTCATGACGGTCCTTGGGCTGATATCTTTTTTCTCTACGCTAATAAATGCTCCTCCTATGTAACCATGTGGATCCAGGCAAGTATGGAAGCTTTTATTCCTTCTCATTAGTTCCAAGTTAAGCCTCATTTTATTCCATGGTTTTAACCTTCTTGTACAGCTGCTACATATAATTAAAATCATTTTTTTCATCTTTTTCAAAAGAACAACTCTCTTTTTTTTTATCCATTTATTCAACCATAAATTGAAAAATTACGAACTTTTTATAATTTTACCAAATTAGGTTAACTGTCACTCACAGTTAAAAACTAGTTATTGGAGTGATATCTTTTGAACAAACGCTTATTTATTATTGCAAGAAATGAAAAAAGGGCCTAAGCTCCATTATTCCTAATTCACTAAATCTTGTATCAAAGGTAGGTCTAACATTTAATCTCTCATTTATGAAACTGATCATGATTATCCCTCCCAAGGATAATACTGAACTATTTGCAAATCACTTTTCTTCTAATTCATCTCTTGAATTTTATGGTCTTACATTCCAGTTAAACTAGTTAACCAATTGTTAGACATTCAAATCACTCCAGCTTCAGTTGCTAAAATTTTATCTCAATTAAATTTTGTCTATGGCTTGTGAGTCCAGTTTGTGAGTTCTGGTCCAGTCAACATTCCTATCATAGTCCTTCAAAATAATAATCTCCAGAACTCTCTTCAATTCTCTCTAAACTGTTTAAAAAGTGCTTGGCTGAATCTTATTTTCCTGCATGCTGGAAATTGGCATCTGTGGTTTCAATTTTTAAAAACTTTTGGCGAACATTCTGACCCCTCCAACTTATGTCTGATCAGTATCACTTATTAACAAGGTCTTAGAGTCTTGTGTCAAATAACTTATTGTCAGGCAATCAATATGGTTTCGATCTCCTTGATCTATGGCTGATTTTCTAACTGCTGTGACTGAAAGATTTTATCATGCATTAGATGGAGGCTAGGGTTATTGCTCTTAACATATTTTGATAAAGTTTGGCATGCTGATCTTCTTTATAGGCTTGCTTTGTATGATGTATCTGGAAAAGTTTTTTAAATAATCAAATCTTTTTTATTCTAAGTGCTTTATCAAAGTTATCCTCAAAAGCCAACACTTC